TTCTGGAGTCTGAGAGGGGCTGAGGCTTGGGGGGAAGGTATGTTTAACACATCCAAGGGAGCCTCACGTTTCATCCCCCTCCTCCTCCACTCTTAGCCAGCTCGCTAAACAGCTGAGTGGCAAGCAGGTCAGGCAAAAGAAAGTCTGGGCTGCCTGTGGGAACTGGGTGCCCTTTTCTGCCGGAGGGGTTTGCCGGGGGTGGGTGGGTGGGGAGGAAGGCCTGTTTTTTTGCTGCCCCTCCCCCAAACCCGTACCGTATACGAAGGCGTCCTCTGCTTGGAGGTTGTGTCGTAGGTGTCCTGTCCAACGTCAAACTTGTAGGAAGGACGGAAGAAGATGGGGGCCTCTTGGAACCCCTTAAATATAGAACCTGTGCAAAGAGCAGATCAGGCAAGTCAAAGGTCTGAACCCCAAATCCCAGCCTTAAGGACGCCCCGGGATGCAGAGCCACCCTGCCCTGACGGGCCAGGGGCTGCTGTGAGCTGCCAAATGGAGGAAGTGAGAGCCAGAGTCTCGTGTGAAAGGCTTTGGTAACAAGGACCCAGGTCCAAGCCTCCCAGGCAGACCAAGAGGGAGCCAAGGTGGGGCTGGTTTGGAAGGCCTCTCCCCCCGCCCTCCCACTGGACTCCTGACAGGTCTCCAGTCTCACCTGCCAGGCTGTGGCTAAATCAAATGTGGGCGTAATCAACTGCGCGTGGCTCAACAGCCCACCCCCAACACCTGGGAACGAGCAAGAGGCGAAGGGGCCTGGCTAAGCCCCCTTCTCTGCCTGAGAAACGAAAGGACTTCTCAGCGTATGACAATAGGGACCAGAATCATTTGTCGTTAAATGGTGTATTCATGATGTGAGGCATTGTATGACTGTACCCAGTTTGATGGCTTTCACTGAGGTATTTAAGCAAACCCCGATGGGAATGAAGCAGCGAGGCCTCACGCCTGAGGCTGCCACCTTCCCACTTGTAAGATGGAGCAAGCATAACCCTGTATACAAGCGTAATGCTTGCCAGGAAGGGCTCTGCCTTTCAGGTAGCAAAAGATCCGTGGGGTAGAACGTACAGGACACAGAAGAACAGAGTTAGAAGGGACCTTGGAGGTCTTCTAGTCCAACCCTCTGCTCAAGCAGGAGAACCTACACCATCTCAGACAAGTGGCTGTCAAGGCTCTTCTTGAACTATCCAGTGAGGGAGCACCTCCAACCTCTGGAGGGAAGCCGCCCCACTGATGAATGGTTCTCACTTTCAGGAAATTCTCCTTAATGCTAGATTGGATCTCTCTTTGTTAAGCTTCCATCTGTTGTCCCAAAGGGGCTTTATTTCCAAGAGGCAACTGGACTGTCTGGTTTTTCTTTGAAGAAGTTTCCCTTCTCATCCAAGAAGCTTCTTCAGCTCTGACTTCCTTGAGCGGACTTCCCACTATCACTTCTGGTCTTGTCCTCAGGTGTTTTGGAGAAGTTGGCCCCGCCTTCCTTGTGACAGCCTCTCAAATGTTGAAAGACTGCTATCCTGTCAGCCCTTCTCTTGGTTAAATGTTAAGACACTGCACGTTCCTGCAACAACTGTTCATCGTACGGTTTCACCTCCAGCCCCCTAATCATCTTTGCTGCTCTTCTCTGCACTCGCTCTACAATCTCTTCATAAATATCTAGATGCGGGGAACAGAAGGAGAGCTCAACAAATTTGCAGATACCAAAATAAGGGGGAAGGCTAACACTGAAAGATAGACTCAAGATTCAGAAGGATTTTGACAGATTTGAGCACCCTAGTTAACAAGAGATGTAGTTCAGTGTTAAGTACTGAGGGGGAGGGGAGAATCAGCATCATTGGTGTGGCCTGGGCCAACACTACTAACTGTGCAAAGCATCCAGGGGGACCACCGAGGCAGCACTGGGTGGCAGCTGCCAAAAAAGCCAAGGCAGTCCTGGACTGCATCATTAGAGGGATAGCATCCAAATCACCTGAAGTGACAGTACTGCTTATTATTAGTGGGGCCACACTTGGAATACTGCACCCAATTCTGGTAATCGCATTATTTTTTTAAAAAGATGCTAAGACTTGGGAAAGAGTGCGGAGAAGAGCACAAAGATGCTACCAGGAACAGTTCAGGGAAATGGGTATATCTAGTCTAACGAAGAGAAGAATGAGGGGTGACAGGATACCTGCCTTCTGGCACAGGAGCACTTGCCACAGAGAGAAGGGGGTCAACTTCTTCTCCTGAGCTCCGGAGGGCAGAGTAAGACGCATGGGTGGAAGCTCATCAAAGAGAAAGCCAATCCGGAACGAAGGGGAAACTTCCTGACCATGAGAACAATGGCTTACTTCCAGGATTGATAGGTACTCCATCCCCACGGGAGGTTTTCAAGAAATGTTTGGACAACCATTTGTCCAGGATGGTCATAAAATCTTCTGCAATGGGCGGGGGGTTGGACTAGAAGATCTCCGAGGGCCCTTCCAGCCCCGTGCTTCTATTTGGCTGTAATCAACTAGGATGCACAGGGGGGTTAATGACAAGGTACAATATTAAAAGTTTTTCCAATAGGCAACAACGGTTATCTATCCATCCCTCCGTCAATAAATAGTAATCCCTTAAAGGCAGGGGAAAGAAACCTAGGGAACCCTCATCACCTGACCAAGGTTCCTCGGAAGAGCTCTTTCTTTAGCATCTTCCCCCCAAAAAATAGAGAGGGAGCAAGCTTGACCCCCAGCAGGTCCTCCTACTGAAAGAACCTGCTCTGGACCTCACATCGCCCTTCGGGGAAGAGAGACTCTACCCAGGGCCTCTTCCAGGACAGCTGAGGTGGCTGGGTTCATTCTGTTTGGAGAAGACAGTTCTGCAGGTCATCGGGGCTCCAGAGGTCAAAACCATCCCTCTGAACTGCACTCAGCAACCAAGCAGGAGCTGCGAAGGGCATCAAAGGGGCCACTGCCTTCCTGGGAGGGGGGGGGGGGTGTCTTGAGAGGTCCAACACAAGGGTCACTGAGGAGGCAAGAGCTGTGGTGCTGAGACTCCAGGAAGGGGCACAATTGGCACCCAGCTGGAGCTTTGGGTTCTGTAGCTGTTATTGCACGGGTCAAGACATTTGGGGGCGGGGTGTGTGGGTGAGGTGGCTCCTGCAAAAACACATGGTCAACCCTGAAGGTGGCCTGACCGAAGCCGTTTTGTCCGCTTCAGAGCTGCCACACTGGAGCTGAGGGTCAGGGAGGGGGGAAATTGAGACAAGAGGGGTTTTTGTAGCCAAAACTTTCTCTTGGGAACCAAGGACATTCTCACCCCTGGTCAGAAGAAGGCGGAGGGATGCCACCGGTGACTGGATCAGGGGACTGATTGCTTTGAGAAAGCAGGACATCTTTTACTTTTAATAAGGTGAAAACCGCAGGAGTTTTTCAGAGTCGGTTTTCACCAGGTATGTGCCAATATATTTCCAATATATTCCATTCCGTTGCCTTGGGGGTCTCTCTTGCAATGGATTTATTACTTGGAACCCTGACATTAAACCAACTCTTGACAGACATGGAAAATGGGAAGGGGCTCCTCACCACTCTGCATTTCCTTCAACAGCTGGTCATGCTGCAGCAGCACCGACACGTCCAGGTCCTGCCCATGGTTGAGGATCTCCTCTACGACCTCCCGGTTCTCATTCAGGCGGAAGTTGAAGTCTCCGAACCAGAAGACGTGGTCGAAGCGGCTCGTGACGTCGGCTGCAGAACCAAGCAAAGGAAGGGGGAAAGAGTGGAGAGAGGAAACTCATCCAAGAGAAGCAACCTGGAATTAAGGAGAAACTTCCTGACAAGTGAGGACAATTAACCAGGGGAACAGCTTGCCACCAGAAATCGTGGGCGCTCCGTCACTGGAGGTTTTTAAGAAGAGACTGGACAGGCACCTGTCTGAAATAGTATGGGTTCTCCTGCTCGAGCAGGGGGCTGGACTAGAAGACCTCCAAGGCCCCTTCCAGCTCCTATTCTAAAGAGGCTGCAGCAGTTAAGAGGAAGCCTTCCCCAACCACCTGCACCCGAGGTTGACCAAGGGGGCTTGAGGGTGAAATTCATTCCATTCAAAGCTTGCAAACAAAGCAACTGAAACTGAAACCACTTCAGGTCTGAACTCTGAATTTCTGGACAGAGTGTCCTCGACTTAGGACCACATTTGAGCCCAATGTTTCCATTGCTAAACCAGTTTTTGACTTTTGCTCCATTTTACGACCATTTTTGCTGCAGTTGTTACCTGAATCAGTGCAGCTGTTAAGTTAGCAATATGGTTATTGTGTGAATCTGGCTTCCCAGATCTTGCTTGTCAGAAGGGCACAAGAGGGGATCATGGGGGACATTGCAACCCGTCATAAATACGTGACAGTTGCCAAGCGTCTGAATTTTGATCATGTGACCATGTGACCTCTTTCATGCTGCTGTAATTTCAAACAGTCATTAAACAAATGGCTGCAAGTCAAGGTCTATCTAAATTCTGAATTTCTGTGTGACATTTTTTGAAACATAGGGACTATAATCTGCCACCATTTGCCTGCCCGAGTGCGAATCTCAGCAACTCTGAAAGGCTTGGATTTCAGTTCCCAGAATTCTTAGCAATGGCCTTGCTGGTTGGGGGATTCTGGGGTTAATATAGAATATGCTTTATTGGCCAAGTATGATTGGACACACAAGGAATTTGTCTTCGGTGCGTAAGCTCTCAGTATCCATAAAAGATGTACGTGATAAACTATGATCATAGTCGTCATAAAAATACATTCATCATAAACCATAAGATACAACACTTAGTGATAGTCATAGGATACTAAAGAAGCAATCAACATAAATCATACCGGGAAACTAAATAAAACAACATAAATTGTAAAGATACATGCAACAAAGTTACAGTCATAAGTAGAAAAGGAGATAGGAAATAGGAAGGATGAGAATAATAGTAACAGTAGATAGTGTGACAGTGTTGTGGGAATTAGTTTTGTTTAGCAGAGTGATGGAATGGGTGAAAAACTGTCATCACTAAATAAATCACTAAATAAAGCCCATCCATCTCAAAATTGCCCAAATTGGGAAACGCTGGCTGTTCCCTCTAAAATCTGATTTTATCGCTGGGACCCACATTTTGTGCTGGGGCCAAATTAGGGACTTTCCAGAACACAAACTTTCTTTCGGGGGGGCATGATGATGGCGGTATTTATTTGACAGAGAAAGTTACACCCGCATATACGACAAACAGAGTGAAAGCAGCATTTTTCAAGTGCCGAATTACTCACAGGAACTAGACCGATAAGGGTTGGTATCTGGAATGTTTCTGGGCAGGGAAAGAGCCTGGATGGTTTTGTGGTAATCCAGGACCCTCTCGCTGACTTTGCCATCTCCAGCTGAAAGAAAAGAAGGCTGCTTAGGGCAGGTGCCAGTGGGAGAGAAAAAGACCCCCCCCCCCCCAACACAGCAACTTCCACTGGAAGATTTCTCTCTCGGAAGGAGAGGAGAACCATGTTCCCAAGGCTGATTTCGATCCCCAGAAGGAGCAAAGCTCTGCAAATGGAACAAGCTGCGAGCTGTGCTGCTAACAGCTGGACCAAGAAAAGAGTCGGGATCGGAGTCCTAAAAAGTAGGCAAGATTCTTTTAGAACAAGGGTCTTCCAACTTGACCGCTTTAAGACTTGTGGACTTTAACTCCCAGAATTCCTGAGCTAACATGACTGGAGGAGGAATTCTGGGAGTTGAAGTCCACAAGTCTTAAAGCGGTCAAGTTGGAAGACCCCCGTTTCAGAACAATCTCCAACATTCACAACACAAGGCCAGAATTCTGAAGGTCAGGGAGAACAACGAGGACCACGGAGTCTAGTTAAGGGTCAAGGGTTAGCCCAGCTGTCAGGCCAAGATCCAGAGATCCACATTTTCCCCACTTTCTGGTGGGAAAGATCTTGGCTGGAGAAAGTGGGGAAGGGAAGGAAGGGAGCTGGAATTCTAAGGATGCTGGATGCCTCATGGGCCTCAGGCCGAAGAGTGAACACAGGCTGGCAGATTTCCTCTGCCCGCTCACCTTCGCCAGAACGGTAAAATCTTAACTCTCAAAGGAAACCACCTCATCAATGTGAGTTTCGTTTCCCCCCCCCCCTTCTGTTCACTTGTGTCCAATTCTTAGAGATTATCTGGACAAGTCCTTGCAGTTTTTGGCAAGGGACTCTTCCCCCCTCGCCCCCAAGAAAGACATTTCCTCCTTGCTAGACCTCACTGTCAGCCAGCTGCTTTTGTGCCAAGGCAGGACTATAGGACTCACCATCTCCCAGGTTTATATACTGGTGCCTTAACCACAACACCCAACGGGGTCTCTTTTTCAAGTACAAAAACACAAAATGTCCCCTGTATCAACTTTTTGTGGTATGTCTTTTATTCTGTATGCACTATCTTGGAAGAGAGGGAGAAGCCGTTTATCAATGCATCATCCAAAAAGTGTTCCTTCCTTTGAGAAGGGAAACTCGTGGGGATTCAATCTCACCAGGGGTAGAAATCTCCGACTATCACGCAGGAGAATTCCCCCGAGAACCTTCGCAGGTCAGGAGATGAGCTGCTGCTGCTACATGATTTTGGGCTCCCCAAAGGCAGGAGAGGACGCCCCGATTTAAGCCTTGGGACCATCAAGGAAGGGAGGAATGTCTGGTGCTGCCCGTTTCTTTGACAACACAGCTTCCTAAGTTTCTGCAATAACTCTACATCTCTGCCTTACTTGCATCCAAGAGCATAAAGCAGGTAGTTCAACTGGCGTACCAGTTTACAGAGCTTTTTTTGGGGGGTGGGGGGGGGGGGAGACCCTATTCTGACTCCAGGGCAGGCACAAGGGGAACTTGGGGAGATACTCACAGGTAAAGTGGGAAGTGATGAAAAGGAAGGACGTGCCGAAGAACGTGAAGCAAATTCCCAGCGCACCTTTGGTTTTGAACTGAGACACGATGCGCGTCGTCACTGTGGCACATTCCACCTCTGTGGGAAGAGAGAAGCGGCACGGCCTGTCAACGAGTGCTCAGACCAGACCAGGGACAGAACAAAAAGGCAGCTCTTCTCCTTTTCACCTGGGGTGAAACATGCTGCAATTCAACGACGGGCTTCAGTTCCACGACAGGCTTTCTCCCCACCCAATTAAAAAAAAAAAAAGGGCTGTCTGGTGAATGAGCAATAGCCCCCTGGTCGAAGTGGCTGAAAAGGCCATGCCTACCTGAGCAAAACCAGATGAGGTCCCTTCGCAAGAAGAAGGACAGGTAAAGGACCCCGTGAGCCGCTGCGTAAGACATGACGTACTGAGGGCCCAGCGTTGCCTGCAGGCGAACCTCCCACTCTCGCCTGCGGAAAGGAAGCAAAGCCAATTGGCCACTCAGGACCAGAGCAGCTGGGCGGTCAGCAGGCCCCATCCAAGCTCAGAAAGGACTCCTGTGGCCCGTCAGGCTGACCCAGGATCTCCCGGAGGCACCTCTTCCTTCACACCCGTTCCATGGGCTTGGGGCCCTCTGGCTGGCTCCCAGCTCCTTGCAGGGAACGGCCCACCTTCGCTCTTCTCCCAGACGCTGGCCTCTGGTCACGCCCACTGAAGCTTGTAGACAAATGAGGAGGAAAGAAGACTGAGATTGCCGATGGCCCCCTGGCAGCCTCCTCCCAAAGGAGGCCTTCGCCTATGAGACCCCTCGCCCGGCTTTAGCAGAAAGTTCTGCCTCGTTGCAAAAGGGGAGAGGACTTGCAACAGCCTTAACCCGTGCAGAGTAACGATCCTACTTGTAGTGTGGTGATTCTCAGGAGGGAGGGAGGGAGGGAGGATACAGGAAAGGAGGAAGGATACAGGAAAGGAGGAAGGATACAGGAAGGAAGGAAAGGAGGAAGGAAGGAAGGAAGGAAGGAAGGAAGGAAGGAAGGAAGGAAGGAAGGAAGGAAGGAAGGAAGGAAGGAAAGATGGATACAGGAAGGAAGGATAGGAGGAAGGAAAGATGGATACAGGAAGGAAGGATGGATGGATACAGGAAGTAAGGAAAGGAGGAAGGATACAGAAAGAAAGGAAGGAAGGAAAGATGGATACAGGAAGGAAGGAAGGATGGATGGATGCAGGAAGGAAGGAAAGGAGAAAGGAAGGAAAGGAAGGAAGAAAGGAGGGTCCCTCAGCTACAAAGTTGCTTGTTTCCATACCTATCTGGACATCCTTCTTGGATCCCTATCACGTACATGTCCTGGGCATAATCAGGCTCAGACGGAAACAGGAAGTCATCCAGCACCTCAGGGAGCTCCTGCAAGAAAGAAAAGGACCTTTCCAACTGTAGATGAGCCCTCCAGGCGGATGGGCGGCCTCTACTGCCAACTGAAGAAGAAGAAATGATGCAGGGTATCAAATCCGTTTTTCTGCCTGCAGGATGCAAACACTTTTTCTGTTCACCTGGGTTGGAATGCAGAAAATGGACAAATGTGCCATTTTTTGATCTGTTCAGAAAATGACTTAATCCACATTATTTGGAGGATTAAGGCGACTCTGCTCCTCTTGCTATCCCATGCACTACTTGTGAAATAATGCACAACAAATACTTGTTTCAGGTACACCAGCTTTCTAACAAGGACAACTTCAAGTCCCATCTATAACGTGTCAAAAAGAAAAGAATCACACAAGGAGACACTCCCGTTTTCTTTATTTTTCTCACTCGCAGCTCACCTTTAGAAAGCCGGACTGGCCCACCTGCTTCTTTCCACTGTTTTATTACATTTCCCAGAAAAAAAGTATTTGTGAAAGAAAAGCTGAAACGGATATTTAAAAAAACCCTCCATGCCTGGGAATGGAGGAGCTGCAAATGGATTTATGGATCCTAAAACGCTGGTTTGTCCCAACAGGTTGCACATACCCTCACTGAACATGCTTCCAAATGGTCTGCATTAAAAGATGAACGTTACATGCAAAATCAGAATCGCTGTCCAGAAAGATCTGCCGAGGGTAAAAGGGCAGGTGTGCAGCCACGTGTTTCCAGGGAGAAAAGTCCGTGTGAGCGGCCCAACCTGTCCATTCTGTAGGCCAAGCTGAGCCGAGTCTTGATTTTCCCTTCTGGGCTTCCCTGTGATTAGAGAAGGACAGTGACCCCCTCACTTCCTCACCTTCTGGCCCTGCATGTTCCAGGTGGCTACAAAGATGCCAATGTTGCGATCAGGAAAATACCGGTTCAGCTCTTCTGCTCCCAGGAGGGCACCACTAGCAAGAAGGCTGCCTTCCAAGTAGCTTCTGCAGAAAAGGATATTCTGTTGTGTTGCATTAAGACAATCTACAGGGTAGGCTTATAGGCTTGACTTACCTGTGGGAAGTCAACTAAGACTGAAAGCAGGGCTGAGAAGTCAAAGGCATAAGAGAGGAGGAGGAGGAGGTGAGACAGGCCTTTCTAGCTCCAAAGTTTCAGAGTGGCAAAGTTCTCCCCTGAAAAAAGCTCAGCTGGCATTGGGGTGGG